GAGGCCGGTCCGGGCAGCGGGGCACGACAGAGGCCGGTCCGGGCAGCTGGGCACGACTGAAGCCGGTCCGGGCAGGGAGACACGACTGAGGCTGGTCCGGGCAGTGGGCAAGACAGAGGCCGGTCCGGGCAGCGGAGCACGACTGAGGCCAGTCCGGGCAGCGGGGCACGACAGAGGCCGGTCCGGGCAGCAGCACGACTGAGGCCGGTCCGGGCAGCGGGGCACGACTGAGGCCGGTCCGGGTGGGGGGGCACGACTGAGGCCGGTCCGGGCAGTGGGGCACGACTGAGGCCGGTCCGGGCAGCGGGGCACGACAGATGCCGGAGTGGCGGCGCGGCCTAGGTGAGGTAAGGTAGGTAAAAACGACACTCAGCAGACACAAATCACAACAAATCAAAGCACACAACCATAAGCATACACATGCACACGGAGCAGGCTATTTAAAGATTCAAAAGTCACCACTACGCCTACTACTAAACCACCACTCGCGTTTCAAATCACACGACATGTCGCGTAAGTCTGTGAGCAGTGGATCGCACATCAGTGCAGTGCTTAACAAAAAGCTCTGCCTGCCTGCTTCCGTCCTTGCACGTGGAAGAGCTAGATCAGTGTTCTGGCGAGTGTGGCAGGCACGGCGTTCTGAGTTGGCTTGGAAGTATGAGGTGAGACGTTGGGGTTCGCGAAAACAGATGCGACGGTATTGCGCATTTTGTGGAAAATTTAGAGCGCGGCCCGTGCGCTTGGCCCGCAGAGGGTTAGCCGAAGTCAACCGACACGTCTAATATTTACGGTGAAAGTTGAGCCAATGAGCAATGACACGACTTGCAGACCTCAGTTTGGAGTTTCTCGAGGCGTCCCTGTCTCGTTTTTTTCCGGACCATTAGCAGAAGGCCCATGCGGTTAAAGATGTGCGTGGTGGCCAATGGATTAATTAACAAGCAGAGGTCGCACCCACTGATCAGCCACCTTGTCAGCTTTCGAATAAATTTTTATCGCAAAAAAAACAGTAAGGAGAAGGTGATCCGATGGCCCAACTGGCCGGGCTGCTGAGCATATTATTACACTGGTCATCGATGGTAGATACATGGGAATCTTAGGTGACAGCATTGTCGAGAACCATACATCATGATTTTTCACCGTGGGGCTCTCACGCATTATGTTCTCACGGAGCCGACTGCAGCACTGGGTCCATGTCACGAGAATGCTGACGGAGCCAAAATTGCTTCTTCTTCCTTCTTCCAAACTTGGCAGCGGAAGCAGGCGTGTAAAGATCTTAAAACCTTTTTATGACAGCAATGAATCGTGGCAGGAGTTTTTTCAAGAACTCGAACCTCTGGCGTCGTCATCTCGTACTGTACCAGTCGTTAGCATACTGAGCTACATGGACATTGGGGGCGTGGTGAGATGGATCCTATACAAATACCCAGAAGGTCCGACGGTGCTGACCCGGTGCTGGGAGCCCTCCTAGCTCTCACCTTCCACCACGTCTGTCCGGTTGATGAGCAGGTGAGAGCAGTTGCAGTTGCCCTGCAGGTCACCACTGTCGAAAGCCACGCACTCAACGCAGGCTCTGTATTCGTTGCACTTGCCCTGGCACGTCTGAAAGGGTACGCGATCAGATCGCGCTCAGCTGAAGACCAGACGCGCGCTCAGCTGAAGACCACACGCACGCTCAGCTGAAGCTGAAGCCAGATTGCGCTCAGCTGACGACAACTCGCGCTCAGCTGAAGACCACACGCACGCTCAGCTGAAGACCACACGCACGCTCAGCTGAAGACCAGATCGTGCTCAGCTGACGACAAGACGCGCGCTCAGCTGAAGACCACACGCACGCTCAGCGCAAGACCAGACGCGCGCTCAGCTGACGACAAGACGCGCGCTCAGCTGAAGACCACTCGCGCGCTCAGCTGAAGACCACTCGCGCGCTCATCTGAAGACCAACGCGCGCTCAGCTGACGACAAGAACGCGCGCTCAGCTGAGATCAGACGCCGCCGCTCAGCTGAAGATCAGATCGCGCTCAGCTGGACGGCAAGACGCGCGCCTCAGCTTGAAGACCACACGCACGCTCAGCTGAAGACAAGGCCCGCGCTCAGCTGAAGACCACACGCGTGCTGTCCTGCACGCCCGACAGGCAGTGGCTGGGATGCGGTCATGGAAGCCATTGAGGTACGCCGCAGCGAGGGGTCAATGTTCAATCCTGGCGTCGAGGCTCGTGGTCAAGCACGCATGTATTTCAACGCAGAAATTTAGCGCGGTTACATGGGCTTTGCTGCTGTCAAACGTGGGGAGACATGGGTGGTTTTGGGAACTTCCTTTCATGCAGATCCAGCGACGTTATGTTTAATTGTACGAACCCGGGTGGGCCAAGTATACATATGCGTAATTACTGCAGACTTCGCATGCATCTGTACGTCTTGATTTACTAACGCATCAAGAGTTGGGATGTCACTTTTCGGCCTTATTTGGGAGAGGCTCCCATAGCACCTAAGTCTTCAAGGAATTGCCGTGCCGTAAGAGAAGAGAAAGGGAGAGGGAGAAGAAAGGAGAGAGAAGAGAGGGAGAAGAGAAAGAGATAGAGAGAAGAGAGAGAGAGAGAGAGAGCGAGAAGAGAGAGCGAGAAGAGAGAGAGAGAGAGAGAGAGAGAGGAGAGAAGAGAGAGAGAGAGAGAGAGAAGAGAGAGAGAGAGAGAGAGAGAGAAGAGAGGAGAGAGAGAGAGAGAGAATAGAGAGGAGCGAGAAGAGTTTTAGCGCATTACTACGTTGAAATGGATTATATTCGAAATCGTGTCAATCAGGTACTGCCACTGTCATTGTGACATTTCCTGCACTTCCCTCAAATGCTTGCCCCCTTTCATTTGGTACCATATTGTCTCTGAGTGACCGTGTGGGCTCGGAGACCTCTGCCTGGCGGTCTGTCAGGCTTAGCTGACGGTCTCTGAGTGATCGTGTGGGCTCGGAGACCTCTGCCTGGCGGTCTGTCAGGCTTAGCTGACGGTCTCTGAGTGACCGCGCGGGCTCGGAGACCTCTGCCTGACGGTCTGTCAAGCTTAGCTGACGGTCTCTGAGTGACCATGTGGGCTCTGAGACCTCTGCCTGGCGGTCTGTCAGACCTAGCTGACGGTCTCTGAGTGACCATGTAGGTGTGTGAATCTCACCGGACAGTCCTCGCAGTACCGGCCGACGAACAGGCCCGACTCGCCCTCGTCACAGACACACTTGCCACACTCGCACAGACCGTTGCCTGAGCAGGGCTTCGTGTCACCTGTGTGTCAGGCAGAGCGCGCCGTCGGTATTGACATAGCACAGCCGCTGCTGATATCTTAACACGCAGCATCACAACCGCGGTATCACTAGCACTTGGACTGTAAACAAGCATTGGCATAGTTACAACAAAACGGCGTAGTTAGCAAGCGAAATTGTTCAAGGCACAAAACGCACAATTTTATAACGGCAAGTTAAGCAACCGGCGTTTCATACACGGGTAGGTATTGAGGAACCAGTCTTGACAGCACGGCAGTGCATTCCATTGCCGTCATGGAAGAGCAAATTAACACATTGGTGTCTACGGTTGAATCCCATTTTAGCACTTGTGGTGTGTACGTGAGCCAAGCTATGGTGCAACACATTTCAAAAGGGGCAAGAGCACAAATTTGTGATTCGTTCTTTTTCCTGCAGTTTGGGGTTAGGTGCCATGTTTCGGACGCCAGGAATGAGCCGATAGAGACATCCAACGGTTGATCCCCGTACAAATAGCTGTGAATCGACCTATTTGGCCGAAAAACAATCTCAGTACCTTCTTGTACAAGATCTGCAATTGTCCGGGGTAAGTCAATGTCGACATCATAAAATTGCACTCGGAACAGGAGCCGCAGAGCCTCCGCAGACCGACATGCCAGCATTTTGATTTATCGTGGGAGTTGAAGAGAACTATTTGCATGCTTTGCGTTTGCTGCAAGATGTTGGTCTGAGAACCTCCGAGAGATGTCATGAACGTTAGGTCACCGTTTGAGGCTACAACAGGAGTGGGTACTGGAGCGCCGTTTTTTTCTACCCTTCCCACGAAATGCATCTTATGCTGCGACGGCGTCTACAGCCGGACGTTCATGCAGCACGCTTCAAGAGAGAAAGCATGAATTTGGAGTCACCAATGTCTCGGGTGTTCAAGGTTGAATGTCCATATGCCGAAAACCAGGGCAATAACCGACACCCAACTGAGATGACAGAGTGTTTCAGAAATTCTAGCTTTCAGAAAGTTGTCGATGGGTTGGTCATGGAAAGCGCGTTCGTTGTTATGCTTGCTACCGCTCGAGAATCAGCTGACACTTCCGCTAGAAAACGTTTTCCGACAGTGAGCCGTTCTGCAGTCGTGACCCCGCATGCTCTCCCCGCATGGAGAGAGACTCGTCACGTGACGAGCCGTTCTTCTGGTTGTGTCCCGCACCCCCCTCTCCCGACGAGAGCTGTTCTCCCGGGCGCGTCCCCGCGCCGCCCGCCCCCGCCCCCGACGAGAGCCGCTTTTCCGGGTGTGTGCTCCTCCCCTCCCCCGACGAGAGCCTCTCTTTCGGGTGTCTCTCCGTGCCGCCGCCCCCCCCCCCCCCCCACCCCCACCCGTCCCGGACGAGACTCGCTGTTCCGGTTGTGTCCCCCTTCCCCCTCCCGCGACGAGCCTGGTGCGACGCAGGTGGCGTTGCCGGCGGGGCACTGGCAGGCGCCGCCAGTCCAGCTGGGTCGGCACTCGCAGCTGCCGCACACACAGCTGCCGTGGTCGGGGCCCGAGCAGAGCAGCTTCTCGTGACGGTCGCACGAGAAGTTGTCGCACTGGCAGAACTCGCCCGTCACCACCTGGAGGCAAATAGCGCTGCTGGTGATGGGTCAGATGGCAGCAGCTGACAGGAATTAGCGACCGGGCCGCACCCAAGGAGTGCACATGTGCCGCTGTTTTGCTAGTCGATGGAGCACGGCTGCTTGGGTGGTCTGTACATGATTAAGATCTGTATGGGAGCATGGGTGACTGTCACTGGCGATCCATATCAAACCCCTCGATTTCCGTTTTGTGAAACGATCACTTTGTCGATCAGTGTTAAACCAACAAACGTGTCCTCAAGACGGCACCGTTTGCCTCACACTAGTCCAACTCCACCGTGATCTGTACCAGCCTCCAACGTCAAGCACTGCCGGAGACTCCCCCGCACGCTCGCCATCAGTCACCTGGCACGAGCTCACCTCCTGCGGGTTGGACCTTTCGAAGCACTGGCACTGGCCGCAGACGCACTCCCCGCGGCCCTGGCAGGTGTCACCGGTGTCTCCGGCCAGGCGGCAGCGGTCGTCGCCCCGCCGACCGCCCCCGTCGCGCTGCGAGCACTCGCACAGCGCGCCGAAGTGCTCCTCGTCGCACGCGCACAGACCGCACCGCAGCGAGCCGTGGTTGTTGCACTCGGGGACCGGCGACTGTCGGCAAGCGAACCGTCAGCAGGGCAGGAGGGCCGGGCACCCGTCAACAGGGCAGGAGGCGGGCACCCGTCAGCAGGGCAGGAGGGTCGGGCACCCTCAGCAGCAGGAGGCCGGGCACCCGTCAGCAGGGCAGGAGGCGGGCACCCGTCAGCAGGGCAGGCGTGCCGGGCACCCGTCAGCAGGGCAAGGCGTGCCGGGCCGTCAGCAGGGCAGGTCGGGCAACCCGTCAGCAGGGCAGAGGGCCGGGCACCCGTCAGCAGGGCAGAGGGCCGGGCACCCTCAGCAGGCAGGAGGGTCGGGCACCCGTCAGCAGGGCAGGAGGGTCGGGCACCCGTCAGCAGGGCAGGAGGCCGGGCACCCGTCAGCAGGGCAGGCGTGCCGGGCACCCGTCAGCAGGGCAGGAGGGTCGGGCAACCCGTCAGCAGGGCAAGAGGGCCGGGCGGCCGTCAGCAGGGCAGGCGGGCCGGGAACCCATCAGCAGGACAGGAGGACCGGACCCGTCAGCAGTGCAGGAGGGCCGGCACCCGTCAGCACGGCAGGAGGGCCGGGCACCCGTCAGCAGGCAGGCGGCCGGGCGGCCCGTCAGCACAGCCGACAGGTGTGCTCCCGGCCGCGACGAGGGGAGACGCCGACTCACCTCACGCCTCGTCAACGGGGTGCAGTAAGAGCCCCGATTGCTTGCAAGGGATTCCTGAAACATCGGCTCAAACGACTGCGTTTCGCATCTACGAGCGGTATCAAAATGAGAATGTCTGATCGCAGAGTGCAAACGCATACTCATTGACATGTCCTTATTGGACCCCAAGCACTCTAATTCCTAACCCTAGAAGCAACTAGTCTTGGCTTAGCATTTTGCTTCGTCTTTGTGTCAGGTGCAGGCAGGGGCGGCATGATGTTCAGGTCCACGAATTTTGAGTTGGGGACAGGATTTTTCACCAGGCCTTCTGGACAATTAGACCTTCTCACAGGGGGGGGGGGGGTATCCTGCGCAGTGTCGTATTCAAGAGGGTCGGTCATGTGCCCGAGGGCATGAATCCCTTTATCAAACTGTTCCATGCATCACATTTAAGCAAATAAATTTTGATAGCTAAAAATCCAGAATGGGGCCTTCTGATTGTTAAGCAAAGGGGTTCGTCAGCCTAAATCAGGACCTTCTGCTCTAGGAGGGGGACTCCCGATGCACAGGGCAGGGACACAGGCACAGGCGCCTTTTATTCCAGAACAGGATTTTTCCGATTCGCGGAGGAAGCCTCCAAATCCATCCCAAAGGCCTCGTTATCCCAAAACAGGACATACTTGTCCTGAGCCGCGGCCATGTGATATATGAGAGAGCACTCCTGTTCCAAAATAGGACCCCCTGAATAAAGGGGGTGCCTCCTACCCAGGACAGGGGCCTTCCAGTCTGTAACAGCGGCCTCCCGAGCCAGCAAAAGGGCCTCTTTAACACAATATTTTACCTCCTTTTCTAGAGCATTGGCTAAGATTGGCCGCCAACTTATTGATAAAGGTAACCTCATGATCCAGAAAATGTGTCTCTTCGTGCAGCAAAGTTCTTGATACCGATTTTTTTTTTGCTCACTAGCTGTGCTATGTAAACCTCTTTGATTCAAATTTAGTACCCTACGGGTAGCTTCAATATCTTTGGTTCTGAAAGGGGACCTTTCAACCTTTTTTCGGAGAGCGGGGCCAAAAACATACTCCTGCCCCCATGCTTGTTCCCCGCACCACCTCCCCCTTCCCGGTTGTTGCCCGGCCCCTCAGTGCAGGCCGATCCAGGATTTCCCCGGAGGGAGAGGTCAACTTCTATCAGGAATGGCCATCTGTTCTGGCGAAAATCCCCCCAGGAGCACTACAGATCTCTCATGTGTGGCGCATTGCGTAGTAAACTGTACAAAATGAGCCAAGACCAGCGTTGTCCGTTTCGCCCAGCTCCTGCTGACATGACCCAGCTGGGTGGAAACGCAATTGCAAGCCGTCCATGTGTGTCAGCAGCCGTGTACGCGCGTGTGGCAACCTGTGTCCGTGCATCGACAGTCTGCGTCCGTATGTTCGGCGGCCTGTGGTTCCGTGTGGTCGACAAAAGCCTGCCTGTTCCGTGTGTCGACAGCCGGTGTCCGTATGGTCGGCGGCCTGTGTCCGTTGTGTCGGCGGCCTGTGTCCGTGGTCGACAAAGCCCTGGTGTCCGTATGTCGACAGCCTGTGCACGGTGTCGAAGGCCTGTGTCGTGTCGGCCTGTGTCCGTGGTCGGCGGCCTGTGTCCGTGTGTCGACAGCCTGTGTCCGTGTGTCGACAGCCTGTGTCCGTATGTCGGCGGCCTGTGTCCGTGTGTCGGCAGCCTGTGTCCGTGTGTCGGCAGCCTGTGTCCGTGTGTCGACAGCCTGTGTCCGTATGTCGGCGGCCTGTGTCCGTGTGTCGGCAGCCTGTGTCCGTGTGTCGACAGCCTGTGTCCGTGTGTCGACAGCCTGTGTCCGTATGTCGGCGGCCTGTGTACGTGTGTCGGCAGACGGTGTGCAAGGGTCGGAGACCTGTGTCCGTGTGTCCACAGCCTGTGTCCGTGTGTCGGCAGCCTATGTCCGTCCGCGTCCGTGTGCCGGCACCAGGCGCGGGCCCGTACCAGGTCGGCGGGACCGGCGCGCTCACAGTCGCACTGGCACTGCTTGGTCAGATGAATCACCAGCGACTCGTTCAGGCCCGTCGGCCGAATCTCCACGACGCTCTCCCACTGCGCCGGGTCAGCGGGACACTTGACCAGCTGCAACAGACGATGGGCACTTGGATGACTGCGCCAAGAGATGACGCCCGCTCAAACCGGACGACAGAGCGGCGCTGAAGAGGCTGACGCCTGCAGGAGGACGCTCGACCAAATCAACAGATTGTTGGATCGACACATGCACATTTTGGGTGATAAAAGAGCTTGTTGCACCAACTTGTACGGTAGTCAGCATCGATTAATGTGTTTGAAAATATCATCCAGAAACAGTACCTTCTACCACGCGCCAGGATGGGCGGATGACTGTAAATGACACCAAACTAAACAGCGTGCTCTGGCCTTTCAGAACTCTGTCATATTGATAACAATAGCCGAGGGTCGAAATCATGTTCGGCCCAGCTCAGTTCATCTAATCAGATGTGATTACCACGATTTTCCCATGCGCAGGCCAAATGCAGGTCATTCTTTGGACATGCTTCAGTAAAACCGACTAATTCATCACAAATAAATGTCATGTGCCATTTGAGTTGGACGTTTACAAACTGACCTCACATCACCTTTGAAGGCGATCTGGCATCACCTTGCATAAGCCGACTGACTCTGACTGACAAAGGATTAAACCATTTGACGATCTGCATCAAAACGACCCGTAATGGGAAAGTAAACTATGAGTAAATGCATGAAGAAGCAAGCGTGTCCGTGTGAGCATTCACATGTGACTTTATGACTCGATTAACTGACCTCACATTGACATTGTTCCTTCCCTCAGAAAGTCCCATATTGCCAGTCTCTTGCCACGCGAACAGAATCCGCGGATCCCGTCAGGATCCCGTTGGGTTCTCACGCGTCTCACTGCTGTGCTCACTCACTGCTCTCACGCTCTCGCCGTCCGTTTACAGCAGCTACGTGCACTGCACAGCAGCGAAGACGTCGGCACACCGGAGACGAGCCAACGGAGAAACCTCCCCAGTCTCTCCTCCCGGGACAAGGCAGGACGGAGGCGTGCATGGATAAGTCGACCCCACGAGGCGAATTTGAAACTCGTGAGAGTGGAAGGCGTGAACGCACTCCCGCACCTCCCGGACGCAGGGCACGGTCCGCGTCGGCGGCGGCAGCGGGGCCGGGCAGTGGTGGCTGAGCGCCGCTGGCCAGGGCGGCAGCACTCACCTCCACCGTGACGGTGAAGTCGGCGGCACTTACCTCCACCGTGACGGTGAAGTTGACCCGCTGGCCGATCTTGAGCCCGTCGCAGCGGTTGGTCTCCTCGGGCGCGCCAGTGCCCAGGCACGCCGAGTGGTACCGGATCCGCACGAAGTCCGTCGAATTGTCCTTCAGCTCAACAAACGACGTGATAGCCTGCAGCGTGACGGCGTCAGTCGTCACCACATTGGTCACCGGTGGAAGTGGCAGGGGCGTATTCAAGATTTTTCAATGTAGGGGTGGGGGCGGAGCTCATGAAATTCCGCTGAAATTTATTGTATGCCATAAAACATTATTATCTGTTCTCGATCTGCTCACTTTTACGTGTTCAAATGGAATGTGCCTTAGTCATGTAAATATCGATGCATGCCACAGGTTTAGCTGGGGGCATGTTCCCTGGGATCTCCTGTGCGCGCACGCTCCTGTGAATGGGCCCTGGTGTTGTTCGCGGAAAGCGAACCGCGAGGCGGAGATCTCGGATTTCGAGCGATAGGGCACAGCTCCAACGTCGTGATCCCGGGCCAAGCTTCTCTTAGTTGCGGTCCTTAATACGCGACAAACCAAATTGGATCACGAGTCCGAAGTCGTTGACCGTAGAATGCATAAATCTAGTCACAGACAGCAAGCCAATGGTTGCATTTCGCACGTTGTTCTTTGTGAAGAGACAGCTGTTCGCCACTTGACAATAGGCCGGCCCTGCGTTAAACGGCCACCGGGGTCGAGGCTTCCGAGCATGACACTCAGATGTCGGTTCAATCCGACCTAGCGCATGACACTCAGATGTCGGTTCAATCCGACCTAGCGTATGACACTCAGATGTCGGTTCAATCCGACCTAGCGTATGACACTCAGATGTCGGTTCAATCCGACCTAGCGTATGACACTCAGATGTCGGTTCAATCCGACCTAGCGTATGACACTCAGATGTCGGTTCAATCCGACCTAGCGTATGACACTCAGATGTCGGTTCAATCTGACCTAGCGTATGACACTCAGATGTCGGTTCAATCCGACCTAGCGTATGACACTCAGATGTCGGTTCAATCCGACCTAGCGTATGACACTCAGCTGTCCGTTCAATCCGACCTAGCGTATGACACTCAGATGTCGGTTCAACCCGACCTAGCGTATGACACTCAGATGTCGGCTCAACCCGACCCAGCGTATGACACTCAGATGTCGGTTCCACCCGACCTAGCGTATGCCACTCGAGTGTCGGTTCAACCCGACCTGGCGCATGACACTCAGATGTCGGTTCAATCCGACCTAGCGTATGACACTCAGATGTCGGTTCAATCCGACCTAGCGTATGACACTCAGATGTCAGTTCAACCCGATCTAGTCCATGACACTCAGATCTCGGCTCAACCCGAACTAGTCCTAGATCACTCGAAAGGGAACGGTGGGTACAGGGCAACCGTAAGGGTGCGGCGACGTACGTCGTGCTGCTCCTTGACCAGCTGAACCACGTTGGAGGAGTCGCTGGAGAGTGTGCCGGCCGAGCTCGCCTCGATGTGCTGGCTCAGCATGTCGTACGCGGAGCGCTGCTCCGACGTCACCGCGAATATGATGTTGATGCTATTCTGCTTCACCTGCAGGAGATACGGAAACTCCGCCTGCGTTGACGGGCGCGGAGACCACGTGGAGATCCTCATGCAGACCTCTCCAGAATGACTGGCTGGCTTCCAGAATGTTTGCCGCAATGAATGTAAGAAACAATCGCTAAGTTTTTTCAATATATCTATAAACAAGCTTTTACACTAGTGCAGGGTCGATGACCTCATTAGCAATGGCAATGACATAACTTGACATACATAACATTACATGCTAAACTTCCAATAACAGCAGTGTAAGCATGTACACGGAATACACCCTGAGCTGACGAGTAAATTTTCATGTAGGAGCTTAGGCCGATTACCTTCTGATTGATTTGCGACACGCTGGGATAGTCGAGCTTGTCTGAGTGGGTGTAGAATCCCTTCTCGTCCAAGTGACACTCGCCATCGTTCGGCTCAACCACGCCTCCCAGCTGAAAACAACGGGAAGATCCAGGTCGGCGACGGCCGGACGCCTGCCTCCAGCTGCGAGTCGGTCCACAAGGGCAGCGTAGTGGCACTGCTGCTCGTGCTGGCCGCCGCAGGTCAGCGGTCGTGAGCGGCGAGCCGCAGAAACACATGGTCAGTCCAGTCCTGGGACACGCAGGAAAACTAACCAACAGAGAGCAAACGGACATCCCACGTCCAGGCACACCAAACACCCCAGGGCTAGACAGTATTACCGCGAAGAGGTCCGACACCGACTGCTTGCCGTCCCCAGCGAAGCGTGGTCACCACGGACTGTCTGCTTGTGTCTGCCTCCGCCTATGCGTGCGTGGGGGTCTACCCAGCCGCCCTCAGCGTAGTCACCGTCGCCACGGCACGCCCCCTGTCGCCCTGGCTGACCTTGCCGCCGCCCTGGCAATCCTTGCCGTCGCCCTGGTAAACCTTGCCGTCGCCCTGGCTAACCTTGCCGTCGCCCTGGTAAACCTTGCCGTCGCCCTGGCTAACCTTGCCGTCGCCCTGGCAAACACTGCCGTTGCCCTGACAAACCTTGGCGTCGCCCTGGCAAACCCTGCCGTCGCCCTGGCTAACCTTGCCGCCGCCCCGGCAGACCTTGCCGTCGCCCTGGCAAACCTTGCCGTCGCCCTGGCAAACCCTGCCGTTGCCTGGCTGACCTTGCCGTCGCCGGCGTAGTGGGAGCCGGCGTCGGTGGAGAAGACCAGCAGGCGGCGCGCGCTGCTCCGCCAGCCGATCTGCTGTTTGCATACGATGGCCTGCATGATGGCGTCGAAGCCGCCCTCGGGGAAATCCAGGTTTCCCGACACCTTGGCACTCATCACGTTTTTCCTGACGAGGAACGGAACGAACGGACAAGTCAGACCATTCACAGGCAGAGATGGTTCCGGACAGACAGACAGTGCCGAATCGTTCTACCGATGCGATGCTGCCTTGACTTGATCGAACGTTGTGCACCGTGAGAATGCACTCTAAAGTCAATGATGCCGCAGCAGCTGTGTTGGCTTGTTCAGCTTTATCTGGACTGCGCGGGTGGTCACGCACGGTCTCCGGGAGCCCATCACTGCAAAACGTACAGTCTCCGAGAGCCGATCACTGCAAGACGCGCAGTCTTTGATTGAGAGCCGATCACTGGAAAACGTACAGTCTCCGAGAACCGATCACTGCAAGACATACAGTTTCCGGGAGCTGATCACCACAAAACGCACAGTCTCCGAGAGCCGATCACTGCAAGACGTAGTCTCCGAGAGCCGATCACTGCAAAACGTACAGTCTCCGGGAGCCGATCACTGCAAAACGTACAGTCTCCGGGAGCCGATCACTGCAAAACGTACAGTTTCCGGGAGCTGATCACTGCAAAACGTACAGTCTCCGGGGCCCGATCACTGCAAAACGTGTAGCCTGTCGATGAGGGATTTCTCTGTGTCATGCCGAGTGTCCGAATCGCCATGACTACTCCGTGCTGCTCGCCGCAAAGGCCGATCAAACCGCACACAGGAGGCACCGTCTTGCCTCGGCAACCCATCTGTCAACAACCATGCGGCGATGGGCGCCCAGCCAGCCGGCAAGAGATAGATTGAAAAGCACACGGGGACGACCGAGTGTAAGTCTAGCGCCGAGTTACCTTCGCTCGGACGAGTGAGCGCGACTCACCGCGAACGAGTCGATGTCGGTCGTCAGCGGCAGGGAGTTGTGGAAGCCGTAGGGGGCGGTGCAGTTGTCACACGGATGCTCCAGACTGTAGACACACAGACACAGTCCGCCGGGTTAGTACAGTGTTCGCAGCCAACGTGGAAAAGCCCGCAGTGCTTGTCAAATTTCTCTGCTGGCGCATCGTTACTGGTCTAGCTTGTGCATTCCGTCAAAAGCGCTCATTATTGCGCCGGCGGTTTTCGGACGGACGCCAGGGACACGACAGCTCTGCACAGACTGGACATTTGGGCACTAGTTGATACCGCAGTATGGATGCAATGAACATCTTCAGACTCAAGTGTAAAGTCTGCTGTTAGCATCCATTCAGATTCAGATCCATGATGTATTTCCGATGAAGTCATAGCAGTATTTCACGCTTCCGTTCGTTGCCAGTACCAAACATCCAGGGATGTGTATCCTTTAAAGGGACCTTCGGAGCATATTTCAAACATATATTTTGTTGAAGCTCAGGACCGTCGTTTGGGATGATAAAACTGGCTGGTGTCATCTCAGCACGAAGAAGATATGATGTACGCAAGGCCAGTTTCTTTTTTCGAGCCCAAATTGCGCGGCCAACGTGTCGGTACAGGACAAGGCTTCTTCCTTGCAAGCCCCAGATTCAATTCCTGCAATGAAGAACTTTGGCGCACGCAAAACATTCAAGCGGAATATTTTTCGCTGCCCCCTTGTCTGTGCGCAGAAATTTCACGTCGATTTCGTTCGAAATCGGCATGAGGACTGGCATGATAAACAGAAGGGGCTGCCTGCGAACATCGTCACTTAGACCCTTGATAGGTACACATGAAATGAACCTATACCCCTGACGTCAGTAGACGTGAACGTTTGTGATGATGTGTTGACGCGGCGGACGGCTTGATACACTTAGCGATAATTGTACTGTTCGGAGTTTGAACATGAGCGTTGCTGGCCCACGTCGCATGTCGCTGGTATATACTTGTGTTGTAAGCGCTGCCTTGCAATGAACTGGGCATGCCATGTTTTCCAAAGCCAAAGTGTGCTTCGAGAAGGATCACCGCGCTAAATGTCATTGGGGAGTAATAAAAGACGTGGCATGACGTTTCGTTTTTGTGTGCTAATGAGCCCATAGTTGTCTATGTTTTCATGCTTACTTTGTTGCAAGCTTTCCTATGGTGCGCCGCACATTTTGTGGTCAGTTCGTGTATTTCGAACATAAGATGCCTAACACACATGTTGAAAAAGCGAAGCAAATAAATAGTATTACATTCATAGTGGTGGACAGGGAGTCCAACGCAGTAGCGCAGGCAGGGTGGGTACAGGGGGGCACGCAACCGCCCCCCCCCCCCGCCCCTTTAGGTTTCAAGCCAGCTCCATACCGGTCTGAGCTCTGGGCGCCCATTCCCAAGGGGGGGACGAGGCCGGGCTCGCGATTTGCATTGGCCAGGCCCTTGCAACAATGTGGGGCTCCTGTGTCGGTCATGGGCACACAGTACCTAGCCGAGTATCCTGTGTCAATAAGGGGCCTCGGGTCGACCAGGGGAACATTTGCTGACCAGGGCCGTGGACGGGACCCCGAATGCCAGCGGGCCTCCTGCATTGATCGGGGTCCTCTGACAACGAAATGAAACCCGAGACTATTGAGAAGAGCTTACATTGAAACGATGGAAGAACTCTGCGTCAGTCAGGGCCCCAGGATCGAACGCTGGGCGCTGATCGGCGCTGGGCGCTGATCGATCGAACGCTGGGCCCTCCAACCCAAAGCCACCCACGGCCCCGTTAGGCCGAACTGGAGTCTATGTGACAATTATTGGACCACCTGCGGCGATCGGTAATATGTTGCGCCAATGGGGGTTCCTGCGTCTATTAGGCTTTAACTGTGAGGGTCAGAATGTCTATCGCGTCAGGGAAGGGACCAACGTGATATGATGTGTCCTTCTAATGACCTCCGGATGGTCTAAGGGACCCCGCCCACATGTCGCGGGGGCGACAGCCAAGAGGCACCCGCGGTGGGACGGAATGGCCCTTCAGCCCCTGATCGGGAACTATAATGTGCCCCTTAGTGTTCTTCTCAACTGGGTCCCTTGCCCGGAAAAAGTAGTGGATTCCGTTAGTATTGAATGGAGTGGGTCAAAATGAGCTAAAAAATGAAAAAGTCAGCCTGTTCGCCTGAAAAGGTCGATTCTCTTACAGAATCGAATTGTTCAACAAATTACATAAAAACGCTTTGAGTCTGTACGCTTGCAAACTCAGGAGCAGGAACAATGTTGGCCGCGGTTGCATTTTTCGTTAAAAAATGTGTTAGCCAAAAGTCCTTTGAAATACTTTCGTAATGTTCAAAGATTAGACTGGTGTGCATCTTTTTTTGCAACCTTGAGGCTGTCGTCTGGACAGATGAACAGCCACTACAGCCTACAAATGGAGATTTTGCGTTTACTTGTCTATTTCCGCCACCCGATTTGCACCCCCCCCCCCCCTTCTTTGCCAGCGCTCAGTGTTAGTCACGGAGCCGCCGCTGAGCGGCGCACGGAAACTACAACCCTCGGGCGTCGAGAGTTGTGATGCTAAGATGCGAGCGTGCAATGTTGAGCGTGCAAAACAATCTTATGTGATTTGTCTAACTAATGGATTCTGATTGAATGTTGAATACATTCAGGCAAGCATAAACTGGCCATGTTAATATAATTTTTAACGCATTTCGATCCACAATGTACGTTCAAGGGTTCCTTAATATCTTTGTAGAAACCAGATCCAAATGCTGACAAAGCTTCTGAGTTCTATCGGTTTAGAAGGGGTTCAATGAGCCATTGAAAAAAAATAAAAAGCACCGGTGGTTTATTCCGTGCAGTCGTTTACCGACTGAGTTATCCGGTTTATTGACGTCAAAATTTGAACAGAATTGATCTCGCGGTGGCCGATGGCTTGTGCTCCAGTTATAGACCGCAAAAATAATAATGAAACAAAGAAAACCTTTTTGTGTGCGGGATCTTTCACCATCAGGGGTTCTTTCTCAACCTGCGCCCCTCACCATTGTCAAGGCTCTGGACGCGCCCCTGGTCCAAGGGCGCTCCCCAGTCGGAGCGGCTACTTAAAATTGAAGTTATGAGCCATTCAAAAGGAATGGACAAAATTTGTATTCTTATTTTTAAAAATTGTAGATGCCCACTAAATCAGATGCTCCTGATGTACCAACGAGTCAAAAGTGCAAAAAGGTGGCGAACTTCAAGTGCAACGTACCGATTTTTATGTTAGTGGTTGGATCTGACCTAGCCCTCACATCTGCGCGGGGTCCCAGAAGTCACATCCAGTTGTTTTTGTTTTTGTCGTTCGAGCGTGGTGTTCGTGAGAGCGCCACAAATATGACCCATAAGCAGAGGTGTGGTTTCTTATTCAGTTTGTGGGTTCAGCCCCTCCCCCTCCCCTCCCGCACACACAACTTTGAGAGGAAAGTGGGCTAAATCGGAAAAACGTCTTTTGGCGTGTTTTGGGCGTAGGGTATACCATGTACAGTACTCAGCCTCAGTTCACGCCCAACTTATTTTCCGAAACTACGCCCCAGCCCATAAACTACAATAAGCTGTAAGTGTAGCACCCGTCAGAAAGGCTCCTAAACAGCAACAGACGGCGGAACACTCTTTGAGCTCGGACGAGCACCGGGCAGCAGAAAGCTCCCTTCCAACATGAACGCATGAAAAGTAAGATTTATTTGGTTCTTGAAGCAGCAAGATTAGCACTATGACGATGCTGACCAGGAGATACGCAATGGCTGGGGCGCAGAGGGTGAGAATATGGCACTATTAGAAAGGAGTGTACTTGAGTTTTTACCTATCTAGGTTGCATATCATCATACCTTCCTGTGCAATACGCTGATACACTTCCAGACAAAGCATATCGAACTGTTCAAGTCCTTTCTTACCGTACGAGGATCTCATAACACGGTCGCAAGCATGAGACACGCTGCTGGGCCTGGGCGTGTACACGCGGGCCACGAATCTACGTGGCCCCTGGCCCCTCGGTACTCACTCAGCGGGCAGCGTGCTGGTGTAGGGCAGCAGCACCTTGTCGACGAAGCTGCCGAAGCCCAGCCGGAAGTTAGTGGTCAGCTTGCACATCTCGAGGGCCAGCAGGTTGCCGAGCGTGGACAGCTTCTGCTTGTCGTCCTCCATCGACTTGCTGAGGTCCATCAGATAGTAGAGGTCGATCGGGTAGTTGGGCGCCAGCGCGAACCTGACACTCAGCTGCTGCGGCTCGCCCACGCGCAGACTCATGCGCACGTGCTGCGGCGCGATCTGGATCGCGTCGAACGAGCCACCGGACGAGCAGCCGAACGAGTCGCCAGAGCCGCCGGACGCGCCTCCGGACGAGCCGGCGCCGGCGTCGCCTTCATGCTCGCTGCTGAGCGGCTCATCCCGCGGTACCGTAACCTGGTTGGCCCAGGTCTTGAGCAGGCGTTCGTCGCAGCTCAGCGCGCCGCTGCGGAAGTTGCGCTCCCTGTTGCAGCGCGACGCCGTCGTGTTGTCGCCGGTGACGAAGTGCTGAGACACGAGCGGCGCGCTGACGTCACAAGCACGCCCAGCCACGCGGGTCAGGCGCGGGTCAAGGTCAGGCCTGCAGTGGCACGGACGGTACAAGCAGGCGAGCCACCGCGGCCACGTTCTGATGAGGCATGGTTGCAGAGCTGAGAGCGGTTGTGAAGCGCTTTTGTCCGGCAGCTCTTCATTGCAGGCAAGATAAGGAACTAGGAGTCAGAACTGGAAGGCGGAACTAGATTCGATGCTTATGAATAGGTGCAGTTTGGTTACAGAATTACGCATTGCATGAATCAAACAACAGTCGACAGACATGGAGGCACACCTCTAAAAGTTCGGAGTCCAGTGGTCAACTCTGGTTTGGTGCGGTGGTCAATTTTTTTAAAGCAAAGCTAGCTCGGCTCTGAGAGGCGGTGAACACCAACGACAGACAGTTCAGTGCTATATGGACGCTTCGCATGAAGAGGAAACGTTGGATGACTGCTACGCACCTCAGCTGTTGATAATGCGGCTAATGTCCTTTGCGACGACAACACACGACGTAAGAGAAATCGACTGGCGCCAGATGTTAACGTCCTCTAAACTGTGCACAACTATCCCATGGAATGACAAGTTAAGCCCAGATTTGGATCTGGTCGACTTGCGATCTCGCAGCCAGTGGTAGTGTTGGGAGCGATCTCGCAGCCAGTGATAGTGTTGGGAGCGATCTCGCAGCCAGTGGTAGTGCTGGGAGCGATCTCGCAGCCAGTGGTAGTGCTGGGAGCGATCTCGCAGCCAGTGGTAGCGCTGGGAGTGATCTCGCAGCCAGTGGTAGTGTTGGGAGCGATCTCGCAGCCAGTGGTAGTGTCGGGAGCGCACTTACGGCCTGAGCACACCAGGCGCACGTCGGACTCTGCATGCATTCGCCGCAAGTCTGCTTGGACAAGCACGGATTCTCTTGGAGCACCTTCGTGGCATCCTGCCCAGAAGTCATGGTCAGGAGGACTGCACAAGCAAAGAGCAGCCGGAGCAGCATTCTTACGGCTGAAAAAGAAACGCGTTGTTAATTAAGCTGATCATGACCGCCGCAAAAGGTGTGTGAATGGAGGTGGAAAACGGAGCATCAACACCCAAAGTCGCAGCGCGAATAAAACTGAGGTCAGAAACATTCACCTCATGACATTAGCAAGGTCAGTCCATACTGACTAGTCTTTCCAACTGAAGGCATCCTAGCGTCTGCACTCAATGGCCCACTGGTTCCAGGCCGGTGGCTTCAATACATTGCATAGCCGCCTGCCCGCCGACCAAGATAAACTCGCTTCCGTCCATGTCGCACAAACCCAGCGTCACCCGTCGTAGGTCACTCGGTAAGTCATGACTGCACCATGTGCGGAGGACAACATGTGAACCCGACCATGTTCCGCGACCTGGCCAGCCCGAGCCGGCCGCGCGGCCGGTGCGGCCGCGGCGCCTGCGCTCGGCAGGCGGGCACGGCCTGAGACGGCCCTGCCGCGCCGCCTACGCCACCCGCAACGTCCGGCGGCGGTGCGCAGACATCCGCCGCCGCGATAACGTACCAGGCCGCCCGCCGCGATAACGTACCAGCTCGTCCGCCGCGGCGCTGGTGTGCAGCCGGCGGTCTCCGCGCTGACGCATGTCACATAGCGGTGCGTGGGGCTCCGGGAGGGCTCGGGAAGTTCGCCTGTCGACGGAAGGGCCAGCGTCGCTCGGCGATCGCCGCCTGAGCACGGACCCAGCGGACCCACCCCGCCCAGCGGACCCCCCCCGCCCAGCGGACTCACCCCGCCCAGCGGACCCGCCCCGCCCAGCGGACCCACCCCGCTCAGGGGACCCACCCCGCCCAGCGGACCCGCCCCGCTCAGCGGACCCACCCCGCCCAGCGGACCCGCCCCGCCCAGCGGACCCATCCCGCCCAGCGGACCCACCCCGCCCAGCGGACCCACCCCGCTCAGCGGACCCGCCCCGCCCAGCGGACCCACCCCGCCCAGCGGACCCGCCCCGCTCAGCGGACCCGCCCGTACCTGACGTAGTGGGAGCACGCCCGGCACAGGCCGCTGGAGACCGCCGTACGCGTGAGCTGGCGCGCGGCCGAGCCTGTGCGGCCCCGCCCGAGCAGGAGCGGCCGGCCGGCTGACGTGGGCCCCGGAGAGCGGCCGCACCCCTCTCTGGAGGGATCACGCCGCAGACGCAGCCCGGTTGCCTGAGTCGTCTGTGTCACATTTGCAATGCTCTGCGCTGGTCGGAGCCTGAGCCTAAGAAGAAAGCGGTCCTTTTCAACGGTTCCTTCTATGTCCAGAAGTCCACGAACTTCCTCGCCCATGATATTGCATATTTGCTCGAAATCTTGGTCATGCAGCGCTAGCTGCCAAAGCTTCAGCTATTACCTCCAATACGTCAGTGTTCAGAGGCCAAAATAATGTTGTACCTTTTCGGTATTTCTGATTATCTAAAGTAATTTTTGTGTGAGTGAGCATTCCTATCATGAGCGCAACGTGTGGCATCGCATTCCCGCGCTTGATCGATGAGGGCGCTCCTCCTGCTCCAGATCACAGCTCAGCAACGGCCGTGATCAGTCAGCTGAAAGGAGGCGTAGATGAGAACCCTCCCTCTGAACGCAGTACGTATGGAGTGGATAAGCAAGCTGATCGTGCGATGACGCCGTGGTGACAGGTGCTCTCGATTCCTCATGTGATGTCGCATGCAGTGCCGGCGCGTTCGGAATGGGTCCTGGCTGACTTGAGACGAGCTATTTCTGAGTTTATGACCGAACTGTTCCAGGCCTGAGAGGGCCTGCTCTGAGTTTACCATTGGCCTTCATCAGCCTAGAGGGCGGCCCTTTCCAAGCTTATCACGAACTTTTCTTGATTCGAGATGAGCCCTTTCAAGACCAGAATGGGCTGTTATCGTACCTGAAACTGACAAAGACGGTTTCCTGTCTTGAAATGGAACAGTTCCCGCCTAATCTTGCCCCTTTCCAGTTTCAAAACGATTCCAAAGTTTAATATGGGCCCTTTCCGGTCCCGAAATGGACCCTCTGCGTTTACCTTCGTAACACAATAAGTGAATCACCATCACATATCTGAGGTCTCCTTTGAGGTTAAGTGACATTATGGAGAAGCAAAAAGATAAATGAGCCCCTCCTCAAAAGATGGGGATGGGGATGTACCCTAGCCCGCCTCCCCCTCACGCATGGATACGCCGCCACTGGGCCCGACTAATGCCCCTCTTCTTCCCCTTACCGCCTGCGCCTTCATGTTCGTGGAGTTGCTTTGTTCACGCGAGCTACTAGATACAGTCACACAGATAAAAAATCGCGAACCCGGACGATGCGAACAAGATCACAGCAACGTCCCAGCCACAGCAACGACCATAGCAATGTCCCAAGTGAAACGTCCAGGCCGCCTTTAAGGTTAATTGCTGAAGCACGTTGTCGATTTCTTCTGAGGGCTTTCGCTATGTTAATATTTCGCGAAAAGATCGCGTCCTTTTTCCGAGTCTGTCTCGAACAATACGGCAACTAGGGGTTACAGCCCCATATGTCTACGCTTTGAATGGCAACATCTTTTCCATCACCTGCATCCCTGTGCCCAGCCAGCCCGGGCCCTCGGACAGCCATCCCTCCTCCGGCCCGGCCCCTGTCGGGCCCTTATGCCAAATTGGAGTGTCCAGCACCTGTCTAGTCCTGTCACGCACCTGGAAGGTCCGAAGCCCGTCTAGTCCTGTCACGCATCTGAAGGGTCCGGCACCCGTCTGGTGCTGTCACGCATCTGAAAGGTCCGGCATCCGTCTAGTTCCGTCACACACCTGGAGGGTCCGGCACCCGTCTGGTGCTGTCACGCATCTGAAAGGTCCGGCACCCGTCTAGTTCCGTCACACACCTGGAGGGTCCGGCACCCGTCTGGTCCTGTCACGCACCTGGAGGGTGGCCGCTGACCGAGCGCTGGCCGGCCCAGAGCCGTCCGCCGTGCTGTGCTGGCTAGCTACTGACCGGCACTGGAGCAGCCGGGCGCCCTCTGCCGCCTTCCAACGCCCCCGCGGACCGGCACTGGACCGCAGCGTGGCGCTGGCTTCCTAAGACGCGAATCATCGCCGCCCACTGATGTCTCTTGCGTCAAAAGCGCCGTTCAGGGAATGAGACACGTTATTCGGCGATGTAATTAGCACCTAGAGGTCAGTGGTGTCCAGTTTGTGATGCCTTTTCGTGTCGTGCGTCCTGACATAGTGTGACGTCACAATGGCTGACGGCATTGGAACGGAAGTGAAGCCTTGTCTCCGTTGTGAGCGAAGCGGCCGGCCGGCTGCGGCGGCGCTGCCGGCCCCGGACGCGGCCGGTGACGAGCGGCGGACGTAGTGGCGTGACAGCAGCCCCGGCGGAGTGACGGACCTGAGCCGCCCTCTTCCGGCCAATCAGGCCTGTGACGAGCTGGCTCGCCTGGCGATGGAGACGGAGGCGGCCCGACTGGCTGTCACTCGCTCGGCGCGTGATGGAGCGGACGCGGACCAGTTCACAGCTCCTGCGCGCAGTAGCGAAGCCAACATTTATGACTGATCATAACTGCTTTAACGCGTTTTGTGTCCATCACTCGGCGTGACATTGCTGAGCGGGGGCGATACTTTGCGAAATCGGATGAGCTGGGACCCTTGCCCATGGCAAAAGACAAAAATAGACTAGATCTTGAAAACAAAAGCTCTAAATGTGTCTTTCTGCGGTGCATTTTATCACGATGTCTGAGATCGAAATGCCTTTCTTTTCCAGAGCTTTTGAAATCTATTTGTCCTGCCGGCCAAATTCACATGTCTTTTTGTCATGTTGTAGCCGGGACATTTTGCAATAAATCGACAGGTCGAAGGGTCATCTTTGCCCCCTCATTTCTCAGATTTTTGACAAATGGGCCACAGAGGTTGTCAGCCACGCTGAAGACGTCCATAACATTTTCAGGCCTCCCAGTTAAGCGGTTTCGGGAGTTACAGACTCCGGCATTTCCGTGTTCTGTTGTTCAAGGGCTACGTTTGGCGGCGATATTTTCTCTACCGTGAAATAAAGCCATACAAAATTATGTGTGTCAAAATAATGTAAGAATCTTCCGATAACGCGTGTGCCGTGGTCGGAGACATCCTTTCACAGCGCATAGTGATTGTGGCATTATGAATATTTGTAATCCGCAAAGAACAATATTCCATGCGAGCTGAAACCTTTTCTTATTCGCTTGTGAAAGAGCGTGGCTTAAAACCCATAATTTCAACATAACACGGTGGCTATCGGCTTGGAAAGGTTTGGAAGCAATGTCACAATAAAGAACTCCGCTTCATTCGCGCGATCTGTCGTCGGCCACTGGCGCAGTATCTCCGCGGGTCTCTCCGCCCAGGCGGCGGAAACATGAGCGCATTGTGAGAAAACACTAAGCTTAACAACACACTGGCTCGCAGACACGTAGAAGTCCACTCAGTAGGCCAGTGACTCAGTCCAATTCACTCTAACTCATCAATATTCTTTAAATCAAGCGACCGCTACTTCCCTCTCATAGCCTGAATCTCACTCGCGGACAATGCCAGTCTGAGCACTCCCTGGGGTTATGTTCCTGTAATACTCTTGGTTGGAAGATACCTTGTCTGGTGCTAAAATCATCCTCTGCCCAAAGGACTTCTCCTTATGGTATGAAAAAACATACCGTCTGCTTGTTAGCCTTGCCCTGCAAAAAATGCCGTAGCTTCTCAGCAGAGAGAATATGACCGAAATGGAGGCCAGACAGGCTGACACTGTCAGCAACTGTTTTCAAAGTCCCACGAGTACTTTTTTACAGGTCCCCGTCGCAAGGGTTCTTCCCATGGGATGAGGCAACGTAATGTCACTCGCAATTCACGCCAATATCCTCCTCATGAAAGCAAATATTCAAATAATTGAACCTGTTCTTGTACCCCGTAGCTGATGCCTATGAAAGTAATACATTTTTCCGCATTTAAAACGACATCTTTTACTTCCGGGAAAAGGTACTGAAGTAATGTGTGGACGGCGAAAGTGATGTGATTCATAGCATCTGACAGCGCACAATAACTATGAGTAATCTGTCCAGGTTCCGGCAAATATACCATGAGAGGATGCGGCGTGCATTGCGGATCATCTCAATAAAATTGCTGAACTTCGTTTCAATCGACGAAAGTGGAGCTTTCTAAAAAGCCTAGAACTGTCAACGCTTCATTCTCTGGCAGTTGTTTTAAAGCTCGTTGAAAAGTTTGCTCTGGTGTTGAGCCATAAGGTAATGTCTGGTAACTTTAACTATGGTGTGTAATAATTTGGTCAAAAACTCATCCATTGGCAGAACAAGCTCAGCGTAAGTACAGAGTTCAGTGTTCACCCACTGGATAAATCTGATTTAACTGACCGAATCCTAAATGTACTCGGTTTGGGCAATGATAGCGTTGGTAAAAAACGACCGCACACCGTCTTAAGCGCGAACGGTTCTGACAATCCCGCATCATGCGAGATTCCTTTTGAGCATCCCATGCGCCGCGACTCAGGTATTTTAAGTGGCATCTCGCAGGCCAAGAGATCAATTATCAGCTTCGCCTCTTGGTGATAATAGCATACGCAAACCGCGTGAGTGTCGCTGCTACCCATCAGGGCGCAGCGTTCGCAGGATAATAATAGCCTCGTGTTTGCCTATATTTTTCTATAACCAGAGTGTTTCCAGCTTTTGTAACATCTATTATCCAAGCGTTTTGACACATTGTTTGTCCCAAGCATTACAGAACACATCCGTTGGAAAAGCAAGGCAAATGAAACATATTACTCTCATAGAGGTGAGCATGGAGTCAAACGACATTTGACACGCAGGAGTGGCTAATTCAAATAGAAATTCTAAGCTATTCAGAAGGATTCGAGAAAACTCGCATTACCGAGCAAATCGGGCGTGTCAGACCTGCATGACCGAGTGCAGAAAATGTGGCATATTCCCTTTAAACCTCACCGTGCACTCGTTTTGTGCCTTCCAAATGGATCGGCACAAAGGGGGCTGCATGAGCCCTTCCTTGTTCAAGACACTTATCAGTACAACCACGCGCTCCACGCCACGTACAACGTAGTACAACCACGCGCTCCACGCCACGTACAACGTAGTACAACCACGCGCACGGCAGTCGCTGGCCTAAGGCAGCGACTGCCGCGGCCAAGGCTGGGCCAGTGCCTGGATCACTGGGCCTTTGTCTGACTGAGCCCTCCCACATGAACCAGAGACCAAACCACCTTCACAGTGTGCACCCACCTCCCCCCCCCCTCCCCGCTGCTCCAATTACCTCGGCTCAGAGAGTACACATGAGGGAAGGAGGGGGGGGGGGGGGGGGGGCAGCCGGTTACGGCGGTCTGTGCCGCGCGCCCAGTCTTCGTGCTCTACGTATGATTCTTTGGTGCATGGACTACGTCTTTGCGGGCAGATAGCGAGCTTTCTTATGACTATCCTGCATGCAATGAACTACACTTTCACACGCTCATGAGGAAAATATCAATACCACACAGGAAAATTGTTCTTCGTGCCTTGCAACAGTTCGTAATGCTCGAATAATTATTCATCGTGCGATGACGGCTTCAAGGCTGGCATACAAATATTTAAGACAGTTTTCTGATCATTTTAAAAGGAAGGTTCGCCAAATCATCTTTCAAGCAAGTGGAAAACTGCCACTGATGTTAGCTCTGCAACCACGCAACTTGAAATTGGTGGAGGCCTGAACTCCGAAAAGATGCAGCTGAGAGATTTAAAAACGTCACCGGTGACTTCAGCGTTAATGACAAACCCCATAACACAATTTAATCAAAATCTGAGGGATGAGGGTGTAAGACACTTGTCGCTTTGTCGTGAAATGCCTCCCCCACGAACTGCCCGAGTGGCTTCAACGGATGTTCGTGAAGTTAGCGATTTATTCAGCGATTTTTCCAGCGACGAGTTCCGATTTCCCTGAAAAATTGTTTCAAGGTCAATTGTGGCATGAAAACACCAAAAATGATCTTTTTTTTGCAATATCATGTGACCTTCAAGATTAAAAGCTGGGTCAAAGGGCGGGGAACTCGACATCACCCAAAAATTACCGGCCGGTTTTCAACTTGCAAATGTCAAAATATTCAACACAGAAAGAACTAGCGTCCGTCAAAAAGTTCTGGCCTCTCAAGGTCAGCCTTCAAGGTCAAACGCAGGCTCAAAACACGGGGAACTCCATATCATCCGAAAGTTACCGGCTGATTTTTTACTTAAAGATGTCAGGATTATCACCAGAGAAAGAGCTAGCGTCCGTAAAAAATTCCTGTCCTCTCACGGTCACCCTTTAAGGTCAAACGCGGGGTCAAAAGATGGGGAACTCTATATCATCCCAAACTACCGGGCGATTTTTATTTTACAAATATCAGAACACTTCCTGAGCCTGAGGCGGTTTGAGGCTGCGCCGTCAACCGTTACCGTCTGGATGGACGCTTTGTAAGACATCCTGCCGTCGACGGGTGGCAAACGACGGAAGCGCCTAAAACTGCTATGTCGCCGAATCATGCGAAAGTATGTAAACGACCCTGCATTCGCGAGCGAAGTACAAGAGGCCCGAGACCTAATAGTCGTCGGTAGTGCATCCGCATGGAAGAAAGAACTAGACAAGAACAACAACAGGTCGTGCCCACTACCGGTGGCAACAGCTGAGCGCACGAGCCTGGCTCCTATGAGCCCGCCTCCTGACGCGACCGGCCCCGCAACCCCGTCGACAGCTGGGCACAAGAGCCCGGCTCCTATGAGCCCGTCTCCTGACGCGACCGGCCCCGCAACCCCGTCGGCAGCTGGGCACAAGAGCCCGGCTCCTATGAGCCCGTCTCCTGACGCGACCGGCCCCGCAACCCCGTCGACAGCTGGGCACAAGAGTCCGGCTTCTATGAGTCCGTCTCCTGACGCGACCGGCCCCGCGACCCTGTCGACAATATCTGGGTGCACAAGCC